AGATGCGGGAGGCGCGCTCCTCCAAGGAGGAGTCCATGGGCTTCCCTCCCTCAGCTTCGAACCTGCGTCCCCCACCCGGCTGGTGTGAAAGGCGACTGCTCAACAGCAGCTTTTGGCAAGGGGAGGGAAAGACGGCCGCCTCCTCGCCCTCCTCCTTGTTGGGCTTCGGTTGGCTAGGGGTATCCCCCACAACGCGCGGCACCCCAGCGGGCAAAAGTTGCACATGCTGGGTTCGAGGGGTCGGAACATACTGGGATCTTATCACCACGCATGTGGCGTCAATGACAAAGACGCCTTCCCCATGAGCAGGGCCGCGGGAACGTCGGGGCAGGGTGTGGGGGCGGCGGGTCGCCTTCCATCCCTCCAAGGTCTCGGGTCCAGCCTCCTCTCTATTACCCAGGGACTCTCTCCATCCCGTGCCTCCTGGAGCCCAGGGTCTGGGGAGGGTTTGACTATGTCGGGGCGGCTGCTTTTTAACGGAAGGAACCCAACTTTTGGGAAGCCAGCTCTGTTCTCTACCTTCTCTCCCTTCCCCGGAGCCCTTGGAATGGGGCCTGGACCTGGGAGCCGGATGCGGGGGGCTGGAAGTTGCTGTTGCAGACCCCGCACGTACTGTCTCAGTGCCTGAGCTCCCAGAAGCTTTGGCTTTTGGATGGTCGTCGCTACCACTCTTTAGGCCAGCAGCTGCCAGCCTCAGGCTTTTCTCCGCGGCCCCCTTACCGGACTCCTGCCTTGGCCTGGCTGTTGCACAGCCTGGGGATCCCCCCAAGAGACCCCGCCCCTGTCGGAGACCCCAGGCCCCAAGGACATCCCGGTAGATTCGAGGATCCAGCCTCTTCTTTGTGCATCCTCCCTCTGTCCTGGCTGGTGCAGGGGCTGAAGAGGCGGGCGCCTGGGAGGGCTCGGGGCCTCGCTTAGTCCCCAGAGTCCTGTGGGGGCCTTCGTAAGAAGGTGGAGCCACGTAGGGTGGCGGCCGGTCCCAGCGGCGTCGCGAGGCCATCCCGGCAGCGCCTCTCAGCAGCAGGTGAGCCTCGTAACTCGGGGGCGCTGGCCGCCGACCTCCCCAGGGCCCCGCCCACGCCGCCCCTGGGTTGCACTGCGGCT